TGCTGGGAAAACTGCTGGCCTTTTCCCAGTGTTCAAACAATGTCTCCAAACACAGAGATGGAAAGACTCCTGTTCCAGTCGGTCCCGGTGAGACGGCTTGGGGATGCATGGGGCTGCAGACTTCGCCACTGCCTTCGTCCCTCGCTGCTTGGGGAGCAGGCACAGGCTGCTGCTTCTGCCCACTGCCTCTGCTCCCTGTGGTCTCCTCGGGTGCCCCTCCGAGGGACCATGGTAAAGTGTGGGGATCCCTCTACTGCGCTGGCAGGTAAAGGCTCCTCTGCCAAGGTCGCAGCCTATGGAAGAGATCCCGTGTGACAGCGTCTCCCCTGAAGCGCTTTTCTGCTCCCCTGGAAACTGTTCCGCCTCTGCCGCACGCAGGGTCCGCTCCTTCTTGTTCCCCGTCCTGTGGAGGAAACAGCTAAACCGAAATTCACCGCGTTAAAAGAAATTATGGAATTAGTGTGAGGCAGGAAAAAACACCACCCGCCTCAGCGCTGGTTCCACTGGGGCTCGAACCCAGGACCTTCTGCGTGTAAAGCAGACGTGATAACCACTACACTATGGAACCGCCGCGTAGGGCTACTTTCACTGCACTTCTCCTATCGACGACATTCTGGCCACACCTCCCTGCCCGCCCGAGGACGGAAGTCTGGTATTTTCTTTTTAATTGCCGGGTGATTGAAAACAAATATAGTAGTTAAAAATTACCCTAATGCCTTTTCTGCCCTTCTGATAGCTACAGAGGAGCAATGACGGGGGTGAATCAGCTCCCGGTAAGGCTCCTGTGCCGCTGCGTGTTGCGGGCAGCGGCGGGCCCGCTCTGCCCAGCCGCACACGGCACACGGAGCTGGCAACGACCCTGGGGCGTGGGGGCCACGCTACAGGGAGCGCTCCCTTACCCTGCATCCATTCGGCACACGCATAGCGAGCGTGTTCGGCAAACCTCTGCCTTCAGCCCGTGTGCTCCCAACGCCATTGCCACTAGCCCCGCTTGGGGAAGGGCTGGCAGCCTTCCTGCGCATCCCGCTGCTCCTGGCATAGGCTCGGCTGCTCTGTTCTCCCCGAATTGGGCTGGAGTGTCACGTCAGGTTGGCCCAAGTGTGGGAAGGGCGGCCTAAGCTTCGGGAGAGCTGCAGCAACACCGCCGCTGCTCCAGGAGAGCCCAGCTGCGGGGATTTCTTCTAAACCGGCCATGGGAAGCGCCTCGCTGCTTACTGCAGGGCGCTCTATCTCTCTTCTCAGCGGGGGAGGGACGTGTAGATGATTTCCTCGGCACAGGGAGCTGTTTAAAAAACATAAGGCAGCCAGAGGCAGGAGCGCCCGGCTCTTTCCAATCCCCCAGAGGGGACGGAGATTTTTCCTCCCGTGCGGCCGCCCGGGGCCGGCTCCCGCCGCGGTCTGCGCCGCCGGCAGGGGGCGCCCCGCGATCGGCCACCGCCTCAGGCCCCGCTCGGGCCCGGCCTGTGCGGGCAGTGGGCGTTTGGGTGTCCTCCATCCCTCCATTCCTTCATCCCTCCATCCATCCATGGAGTTTCTTGTCACCCCTTACACCCCACAATAATTGCCGTCTTCCCTCTCTTATGTTTCACCCATTGTTTTGCACTACTTGCACTACCTCAGTCCTCCCCATACTGCGCCGCGCCTCACATCGCAAAGGGAGTGTCCTGTAGGAGCACAAATTAAGGCACCTGTACTATATTTACAAAAGTTACAAACAGAAGTTATTATTTGGAATATCAAAGGTAAGCTTGGGATTTTTCAGAAGTGTGGAACTTGTAAGCAAAACAGTGTATTGTTTGTGGCTAAATAGCATAGTTGACATGATTTTTGAAATTAATATTTTGATGAAGCAGCAGATTTATTTACTCTAACAAGGTAGAAAATGTTTAATTAAAAGCAGTTTAATAAGCATTAGATGAAAATAAAAATGAAGACAATTATTTCCATAGACTTGGTGACCCCTTACCATGTACATGGTTACACTTATTCGTTGGTAGATTCCATTCTTTAAAAAACAATTTAAAATATTTTTAAAATCCTTTTACATACTGATCATTAGGGTGGCAGTCAAATCTGTGTGCTCTCCTGACCTGGAGAGCCTGATTTGGCCTGGAGAGCCTGATTTGGCCTGGAGAGCCTGATTTAGAGGCTTTGCCCCTTTGGCAAAGAGACAGCCTGGTGGGCCCGAGGCATCAAGATGTAGGGTTTGCACCCTGTGGAGCTTCTGGTTCACCAGACCAACAAAATTCACATCAAGATTTTGTTAGGCAATTCTTAAGCCCATTTCTTTTTTGTCATGCTGCTTTACTAAGATCTGTCAAACCCTGAGTGCTGTAGATAGATAGCTATCATTTCTATAAGCTCTAAGTGGAGGTTGATGCTAATGCGAGGGAGGTAGAGTTGTGCAAATTAGGTCATTAGACATTGCTTCCCAGAATAATCTGCATTCATCTGACAATTTGGGAAACTTTCTTCAAGGAAAAAAAAAATTGTTCTCATTTTTTGCAGAGTGTATCCTGATGGTTTCATAGTGTTCTGGTTTAGTTTCTCAGTCTTTGGTAGCTTTGAGGCCCTATCACTGCCTTTCTGTCACATTTCTGATTAGGTGTGCTTTTTGCCAAGGATGCTAGTTTTGATGTTTTTATTCACCTTCTCACCCAGAATTGTCAGAGGGGGAACATTTCTTTTTGTGTTCACACAAATTAACCTACTTCTTCTAATGTGTGAGCACAGATTTCTGTCATCTCACTGACTGAGTCAGAGTTTAAATTTGTTCTGGACATTAATTTCTCTCTTCATTATTTTCTATTAGATTTTTTTTTTTTTTTTTTCTTTCTGTCTCTGGGCATCCAGGTGTCTCAGTCAGGGACTTTTCCTCTGGCTAGTACTTTAAAATACTTTTGCTGGGTCATATAAAAATACTTCTTTAAGCTTGGTAGGGCAAGAGGAGGGAAACCATGGTCAGAGCTTAGAAGGAACACGTTCCCTTCAACTATGATTATCTTCATCCTTTTTGAAAAAATATCAGTTACATCACTTTGTAGTGGGTGCTTCTGAGAAATAAGCCTGAAGCAGAATTTGAATTATGTATGTGGAATGCCTGCATGAAGACTTGCTCAGGAGGTTAATGCTTCCAAATGTTTCTAGGTGCAATTACATCAAGAAGGGCTGCTTTTAGAGGGATGCCCTGATTTCTACACTAGCACCATCACTGGGTTTTTTTCTTGTCATGCTAAACTGCTCAATCATATATTGTCAGAATTTTTTGGCCTACTTTCTGCTGCAGCTGTTGATGCTAAAAGTCTATTCAGCATATTAAGTGTGTGTGTGATACATAACTGCTGAGCAAAAAAGCAGTAGTGTGTGTGACCTTGTTGATGGGACCGGTGTGTTCTTTGCCCTTTGTAGAAAGGAAAAGGGTATTATCTCCTTGGACTTGAATGGGAAAGGTTAATTTGGAAAGGACATTTGAGTTTCCTCAAGTTGCATGTTATCGTGATCCCCGCAAGTAACTGGAGAGGTGGCTCAGTCCAGTCTTTATCGGGTTGCTTGGTCATGTCAGATCACTGAGACAGAGGACAAAGAAGAGAAACAAAAGAAAACATGTCCTAAAGAACCTAACTACTAAGGTTATCCCTCTCCCACTAATCTTGGATGAAATGTTTCTGATGGATTTATTGGCAATTGCAGCAAAACTCTCATTATGCAGAGACCTTGGTAAATGCCAATAGAGATGAACTTATCAGGTACAGTAAATGTTTATAAATAATGTGTATCCCAAGAGTACAGTGGAAAGAGGTTGTGATGTAGTTTTGCTTGCATGCATTTTGGCAGAGCAGCATGATCATACATAAAAGATTAGCTGCTGTAACTCAGATCAGGGAAAGTGCATCTTGCCAGAAAAAACAAACATCAAAACTGTTCTGGGTCATGCAGAATTATTGCGCTTGGTATGCTTTCCATTTACTGTCTTGTCTCACAGGAGAGGAACAGCTTTGAAAGTGGAAGCTTGTGTCTGGGACTCCAGAACCTCAGAGGACTATCTCGGTCAGTCAAATGCCTTCTGCTTTGCTGGTTTGGCATTTTAAATATCTTGTGTACCTTAATAAAAGTCTGTTTCAAAAGGGGATTTGATCACTCTGTCCTTCAGAGTAGAGTGGTTGATGCCTTTAGAATTGTCACCACACTGACAATTCTGAATATAGCACGTTATGGTATTATTAGACCTTTAGGAAGGGCCAGGAGGATGCAGATATTACATTGCCTCTGTTCTCAGAAATCTTTTGTTTCTATCCAGTCCTGCTGGAGCTCCATTACCTGAAGAGGCTTCAGAACAAGGGCACAGTGGTCTTCATCTTGTGCCCTTGCACATGGAGCTTTCTCCCACCACAGCATGCTTTATAACCTGTGGTGCTCTTTGGACCCACAGGCCCCGCCCTGACCCACTGAAATGCCTGCTGTGCTCTGTTCCATCACTGCACAGCAGCAAGCAAAGCAAGCAACCCCTCCCTGGCTTTTGGAGTGGGGCAATGGTGTCCTGATGAACATAAATGCTGATGAGGACCTGGCCCAAGACTGTAGTGGTGATATTATACTATCACACTTACACAGACATCTCCTAGTTTTGAGTGGTTTGGTGAGGTATGTGTTCAAAATCACAGTGTCCCCATGCTATCCATGCACTGCCGGTGGAGCAGATTCCTCAGGGGCTGTCGTGTGAGCAGTGGGCAGCAACAAATGACCATGATGGCTCTGCCCTTCCCTAGGGATCCTGTGCCATTACGGAGAGTCGGGGGCAGCGTGGCCAGAGTGGGTCAGAGGTGTGGACGTGCTGCCAGGGGTCAGGGTTTGATTTCAGATCGTGGCTTTCTGACCGGAGCAAGGCTGCTGTGTTCTCAGCTTCTCCAATCCCTTCCCAGCAGTCACACAAGGAGAAGACGAGCCAAAGCATAAACTGAGTCCACAGAATTCCAGTCACACGTTTATGGTGAGAACATGTGCATGCATGAAGAAATGAACTGAAGGCATTAGCACAGTGGCTCCCAAGACAAGATCTGAATGCTTCATACTTGTGCCATTATCTGGGTATGACTGAATGATTTGGAGAACACTTATATATTATATTGCATGCAGGTGCAATGCCTTATGGTAAATTCAGTATTTCTTTCCTTAAGGGCTTTCATAACCATGCCAGTCACATCAGATAACCAAATAACCTGGACAGCCTTATGTTTTTTTCCAGTGTGCTAGATCTGCTAAAATGCAAATCATTGCCTCAACACAGCAGAAAGGCCGAAAGAGATCATGTGACTTCAGATGCGAGGCAGATAACTTCAGCCCATCCCTTTCTCTGCCTGAGATTCAGGAGGCATGGTGACAAAACAGCTTTTCAACACGGAAACAGCACAGCTGGAGGGCTGCAGCCATGAGCTTTCACATCAGGTTGGACCGTGAAAACAACATTTTCTCCTGACTGTTTCTGAAGAGCAGCATTCAAGAGATTTCTTCTCGGGAAGCTGTGTAAATAGGTGGAGAGCAAGTGCATTGCAGCTTCTGAGCTCCAGAGCCCCAGAGAGAATTGAAGCACCTGTTCTGCAGAGCTGCACCCCTCAGGGGTTGCTTTCTCTTTAAAAAAAGAATCTTCTAAAGGTACTCTAGTACAAAAAATCTCGGTACTGCTGAAGCAGAAAGAAAAAAGGTAATATCTTTGGGTGGGGTATATATATATATATATATATATAGGTCACTTTTAAAGAGCAAATTAACAAAATGACAGATGTATGTGGCATTATTTATGATTTTTCCATGAGAAAAATCACTGTGCTTCAACCTATAGTTTGACCTGGACTGAATCAGTTATCCAGAACTTCTGAATACAGATGAAATCAAACAGCTTTGAGACCACTGTATTTCATGTATTTTTTGTTTTAGGAAAAATAATTTTAATTATATTTTGAACCTTGTTCTAATGCTTAACTTAAATTTTATGAAAACCACGCTGAAGCATGAATTTAATTTTTAAACTGGCTCAGATTTCAACACATGTTTATTGTGAAGATTTGCTTCTTCAGGATGTCATTAAGACCCTGCTAATTAAGTGTAGGACAGTATGTGATCCAACTCATTAACTGCAGGACAGTATGTGATCCAGCTTTTTGCTTAAAGGGTGTTAACTTTTATGCTCCAGTTGGGTTCAGTTTACTAGAACCAAATTTGCTTTGGGATTTTCAGTTTTCCCCTTATTACCTAAAGAAATCTCCCCCTAGAGGTGTTTAGCATTTCTGGAAAGTGATATGGTGTGTTTACTTCTTCTTCAAGGTGAAGAAGAATGTGTACCCCATTTGTCCACTTGTATTTGCTATTCCTCCTCTTTTTAAAACAAAATCATCTGCCTAACGTCTTGCTAAAAAAAAAAAAAAAAAAAAAACACCAAAAAAACCCCAAAAAAAACCAAACCCCAAAACCAAACCAAAACAAAAAACCAGGCAGCTTGCTTTGTATATTTTCTGCCCCCCCCCAAAAAAAACCCCAAAACAAACCCCAAAAGTAAATCTACCCCGTGTTGTTCATTGAACTAGTATTCTCCCACCATTTTTTCTACAGATTCTCTTTGGGTTTTCATGCAGTTCCTGAGCTCAGGGATTGCTTGAATTATCTACATATTCACATCTTTGTTACTCTTGCTTTTATTTCTTTTTGCAGTGCATTTTTTGGCTCAGGAATATGAGTCCACCTTAAGACTTCATCCTATTCTCTTTCAGGCTTTGCTGGCTTTCTGCTATCTTACTAACATTTGGCCAGTGCTCAAGCCACCACATGCATCCCATTCCCTATTGATTCCTGGCCCCAGCACTGAGGTCTGTCAACACAGCCACTTATAGCAATCATTCCATCAGCTCTACATTGAGCTTAGCCTTGCTTCTCTGAGCAGGCGGAGGAAATTATCTGTTAACAAAAGCCTTTCTCATTTCTGTCTTTCACATATTTATAATCACTGAAAATCACTTGATAGAAATGTTAGTTTGTTCCATGGATGTAAAATGATGGAGTCCTAATCACATATTGATTTGTTTATGTTTGATGTTCTCATATCAACCCCTTGGCAGATCAAATTCAGTGTTGGTGTCAAAATTACAGCTCCCGTGCCATAGCCAGGTTCCATTTCACTCTGCTAGTTGACTCTGACTGCTTCATCCTACTTTCTGCAGGGTGGATCTTTTAGCTAATGAGATCTACAACTCATCTCCAGATTCTCATCCTTGACAATCCCAACAAGACAGTTTTGGAGACCTGTTCTTCTGGAGGTTCTGACCTGAGTGTTGTGATTTAATGTCTGGGTTCTCTTCTCTAGGGTATTTTAGTCTTTCAAGCATCATTCCCTCAGCAATGCACAGAAGCAAATCCATCACAAATGCATATTATGGCATTTTTACATTCTCTGCAGTCCTATGGAACTGGAAAGGAAAACAATTCTAAAGGAAATCTGTGAGTCACAGTAAAAAAAAAAATACAAGATAGCATCAGTGGAAAGTCTCTGTCATTAGAAGCATCCATCCATCCATCCATCTGATCTTTGTGTTAAAACTGTCTCTATGTTATCACCTCTCCATGTACATGTACCTCCTAAGACATGTAATGGGAGGAGATCATAGCTACCTATTCAAAAATATGATTGAGAAAAGGGGTGAGTAGTGAAAGGAGGCATATTGCTGGAGAGAACTGTTGAAACAACTTCTAGAGGAAGTAGCATAATTATGGAAAGCCCATCCCAATAAAAATAAAAGCAGGAGCCTTTCATTTTTGTTTATCAAAGGTAAGAAACAAATAAAAAGACAGAGGAGTAAGAAATCCACTTAAATCATAGTGGGTCTTGTTAGTATGGCTCCCATATCCTCAGGTTTAACCTAGTTTACACTTGTCTGCCAGAAGCACAGTTCAAATAATTTTAAAAGTTAAGGTGTGCTTTAAAGGATGTCTCTATGCCCAAAGACCCTGCTATCTGATTTCACTGAAAGTCAGCTATAAATCTTTACAGGACTTTCCTTTTCCTTTGGAGCACTTGCTGCATGTAACCTTCAGTGGCTCCTGTCCAGGGAAGAGCAGTATGTGCCACTCTGGCTTAGCTTTTTGTGTGTCCATTGACATGACTGCAAAGACATTTTATTTTGCTTCAGTGGATGAGTTGTGCTTTTAGTGCCTGTCTATCACAAAACTGGCTTTTTTGCTAAACTGAGAGAAATCTAGCAATTTTTAAAATTATGTCTAAAAGTGGGGCAGATTACTGACTTGTAGAAATTGAATGCCTGCTTTTTAGTCAACATGACAGATTCTCTCTTAAAGGTAAATCAGTGGTATAATATCCAGAATATTAACACAGCATCATGTTTCAAGTTCTCATCCAGATACCTTGTGTCTCTTGCAGTACCTTGGTAAAAAGCCCAGCTTTCCATTTTACCAGCCAACATTTGGGGGAATTTGGTAATGGCAAATGATTCTTCACCATACACTGCTACACTGTGTAGTAAGTAGCTCACAGAAATTACTCTCCTGGCCTGGAGTCTGGGCATGCAGGTTGGCAATGAGGATGGCTCCATAGCCACTTGAGAAGTTGTCATGAAAAGGTAGTTGAATATTCACCCTGTCCATTTTAGAATGCAGATATTTGGGACTGAAGGTGGTGATTATTCCCCTGGACTAGCCCTTTGGTGGCAAGATTTGGCCTTTTTAGGAGGTTTAATGAAAGGATATATCTGCACAAGTTTTCCTTCAAGCTCTGAGCGTATGTTTGAGTCTTCATTTACGGCTGTCACAATAAAATTTCTGTCCCTGTGCTCTTTTAATTTCTTTTCTCAAGGAGATTGTAGAAGTCCATGAGTTTAGAGGTATGTAGAGGAGAGTGGTGATGTCTGGTGAGGAAAGCTGAAGTCATTGAAAGCAGGTTATAATCACAATGCAGCCCCCTATTTCTTGGGTTAGCCCATTGCTTGCTGTGGTTTGGAGGGAGTCCTGAGAGGTGTGATGGTTCCAGTTAGGGCTTCCATTGCCCACTTGCAGGCTAACCTGGCCTTTAATCAAGAGTCTAAGTAGACCTTAGCTTGTAAGGTCTATTTTGTCCTTAGTGCCAGTCTTCAGGTCACAGTTCAAGTCATGGCTGGCTTGTTTGAGATGGAGTAATGAAGGCCTGAGATTCTCTTAAAAGGGTAAATGAGGGGCTGGTAACCAGGAGAACAAGAATTATTTGGAGAGAAGACAAATTTGAGCTATTAGCTATATCAAGGCTGTATTTGATGCTGCTAAAACCATTGATGGGCTCAAAATTAATGTAAGAACATTTTTTTTTTTTTTAATTTCATGATATCTGTTTCAGAAGGAAGTAAAGCAGTCCATTGTGGGAAAAAAAACAACCCTTGAAATCCCTCTTTCCTGAATCAATTACTGACTCATAATGAGTCAGACCCAGCTCAAGTGTAAGATACCCTTGTTTTGTGGGATCCTGAAAAAAAGCCCCAGAACTACAAAGAGTTGTGTTATCTTAACATGACAGAACACGATATCATATATAATAATAAATGTTGAAATCTGCACATACAGACCCACAACTATAAATGTTTTCTAATTCTTGAAATTGAAAATCACCTAGTCATGCATTTATGGTTTTTTTTTTCTGTTATATCCTTCTTTTATTTTGATTTCTTCTAGTAAAGCCAAAGGAAAATAGTAGCTAAGCATTCATTTTATGCTGATGAATTTCTTCTTTGTTTTAAAACTCAAGTTAAAAGAAATTGAATATCAATGAAACAAAACAACAGATAAAATAATAGAGATGTCAGATGTATACCTGGAGATGGAGAGAGAGGGGTCAGTGTGATCATATAAGAAATCTTTAGCTAAAACAATGTTCAGTATCTAAGAGCATCAGTTTTTTTCTCGTTGCTTAGAAATTAATCCATTTTGTATCTCAGAGGAACTGTTTGAATTGTATCTCATTTTAATTTGTTGATCAGAGAATGTATTGCATTACTGAGTGATACTATTTAGTGCAGAACTGAGCAAGTGCCAGGAGAAAAACCCAAAAGACTTCACTTCAAAATATATTTTGTTCATTTATTTAATGAAACAAAATCTTTTCCTTGGATTGTTTTCAGTAGAAATGTAATAGAAAAATGGATATTTTATTTAAATGAAGTCTGCTGATGAAGTGATTTGCTATGGTACTGTCTGTTCTGGTAAATTTGCTATGGTAAATTCTGTTCTGGTGGTGGTGACACTGAGCAATAAGATGATAAATGGGGTAGTAAGGCAACTTTTCAAATCAGTGGAGTGTTAGGAGGATTGGATTTTTTTAGCATTACTATCACAAGTAATTTAAAATCTTTAAAATTCTCCAGTTCCAATTTTCAAATCATAAGAATGAGGAGTAATGTGTCTCCATAGTCCCTTGTCCCTAGTAGTAAGGGACAGCTTTAAATGGGACAGTAGTAAGGAATAGCTTTAAATAGCTATTCTTCATATAAGAAATCACTGCTGCACATTAACATTAAGCTAACATGTAAGGAATAAACTGTATTAATTACTAAAATAATTTCTCTTGACTGCAAGTTGACAGTAATCAGATGTGGGGAAAAAAAAAACCAAAAACCTGATATGGTCCAGTTTAGGTAGGATGTGCTGCACAATAATATTTTACGGGATGAAGGTACTTTAGATTCTGTTTTGTCAAGCACAATTTTTTTTTTTTCTCCCTATCTCTCCTTCCCAATCTCATTCCTGTTAGAAGTACTAGGAAGACCCCAGGAGCCCAAAGGAGTAGAGCCCTCATCACTGAAGGAACAACAGAGGAAATGTGTATAATGCTGACAGCTGAGAGAAGCATGCTTTATATCAGCAGCAATTAAAACGGATGGGCAGCATCATTGGAGCCATGGGGTGCAGCAGTTCTGTAGCTGACAGGAGGTCAGAGAATGGTGAGTGTTGCCTTTATCTTCAGCGCAAGTGGTTGTTCAGTCTCTAACACCAGCAGAGGATTGCAAGACAATGTTCCTCTCCCCTACAACTCCTACTCAGTTTTGTTGTCAAAATATTTGTTCAGGGAAAATTATTTTCTATTTATTTTCTTTTTAAAACTGTGCATAGCTTTTAGATGCTGGCTGAGGTCAGGAAGCAGCTTTAGGCCACCTCTAACATTGACAGATTGGGTTGTAAAAGATTTGCAGCATCTGGGACAGAAGCTAAATTTCAGACATGTCTGTGCTCGCTCTGTCACTGGCAAAGCTTAGGGGGTAAGGTATTGAGTGGGACCTTTTATGGCTTTTCACACCACAGGATTCCTGGGCAAACCGCCCCAATTTCCCTGCTGTTGTGTGACCCCAGTTATGAAACAAGTGTAATAAAGCAGGGCTATTACAGTGACTTCAGAATCAGTTTTCTGGCCTACCAAGTGCCTGGCCTGAAAGTCTCCCTGACAATTAGTGAGGCTGTCAGCTGAAAGTCTCCACAGGACCTAGTTAAATGTTTAATTAAGCTAATGGATCATCACCCTCCTTTGAATCATATCCCACCTTAGTATGAACTCAGCAATCTTTGCACAGGCAGGTATGTTCCAGGATTCAGTCAGACTTTTTGCAGACCCTCTGTGTTCTCTTTCAAGATTTTTCATTAAAACACAATTAATTGGTCAGCAGAGATCCATTTTACATGGTACTGTGCATAGTCTTAGGACATTATTATGCTGAACAGCCGTGGTTGAAAAGTAAGGCTCTTTTTGGCTGCCAAGCCAGGACACGAGTCACAGGAAGCTGGTGACTTAGTCATGGCTACAGGGGTCCCAGCTGACTGGTTTGAGAGCAGCACTCAGCTTTGTGTATACTACTACAAAGCAGCATCAGTGCTCTATCACAGTAGTGAAAGTAGAATGGAATCATCCGGAATCCCAGACCCACCTGTAATTGAGAGGCAGCTCAAACCTTCTTTGGGCTTGCACGTTATGTCTACATGTGCCTTGCAAGACCTTAGGGATGTGCTACTTGGGAATATTTCTGAGTGTGTAAAAGCTTGGAGTGGGCATGAGGAGCTGTACTCTTTCTTGATCAACAACCATCAACACTCATTGATGTGGGGCTTAGGATTTTGTGTGCTTCCTGGATTGTGTTTTGCCTTCTGGAGCTGCTGGATGGTTTCCTTTCTGCTCTTCAGCAGTAGTCAAGTGATGCTGAACCATCATTCTGTCTGAAGCCTGAGGCGGTACATTTCTCTAATGCATTAATAACATAAATTTAACAGATACTTGTTGGTATAGAGACCTTCTGTAACTGATAACAATTTTGTTTAGAGATGCAGTTTAGCCTAGTGTAAAAATCGTGTTCTGATTCAGTCCTGAGAATAACAGTGCTGTAATAAGTACAATAAAAAAAAAAAAAAGAAAAAAAAAAGAAAAAGAAAGACAGGAAACATTCTGTTAGATTTGCAACATTAACCACAGTGATTGATATGTATCTGTCTTATGTGATAGCAATGGAACTGTGCCATGTTAAGTGCTCAGGACCATTAAGCAACCCAGGGGGCTTTAATGGGAAATTTAATGGCTCTGATGCTGGAAATTTGTTTCTGTGCTGATGATTGTGCTTTGCCCCTTAGGTACTCTTCTAAACAGAAATGTTGGTGATAGCCTGGCTGTAATGTGTCAGGCTTTCAGGTCTGTAGTGTACGGTCTGAAGGATGCCCTTAGTCATATAAGGATCACATTTCTTTCAGGGAGGAGGATTTTTCTAGAATGTATGCAATATCTACAGGATGGGATTCTTTCTGGATTTTGCTCTTGGTTAGACTAGAAAATTCTACCATTTTAACCTTACTGAATATTCATTAATGGTAAAATAAGTAAACAACATATTGTTACGGCATCTGGAAGCATTTTTATAAAAATGTTTCCTTTATGTTATACTCTCTATTAATAGAATCACTTTCCCATTAGTATTTGCCCTTACCTGCATAATTATCAGTAAGAAAAAAAAATAATTCTCACTCAGGTTCCTAGTATAAAAATTCCTGGTATTTGTGATCAGTTACAATAATTGACTGGTATAAACTGTTGTCCCTATAGTACAGGGCTTTTGTTTACTGTTTTGCAGTGCAGGACAGTGCCCACCCCAGGACCTCTTTCTACTACCAGATGTTTCTCTGCTTAACAAATTTTTATCTGAGCAGTTAAAGGAATGTGATTTCTTCGTGGCATGAATGAGGCCTGAAGGCAGCAGGCTCTTTGTTCCAGGCTGCAGTCTTGATGATTGTCCTTCAGTCAAGTTTCTAGCAGTTTTCCAGACTGAGACCCTAGTAGATACAACTTCTTAAAGTGCTGAGTGGAATGCATATTCAGCACATAGTGCACATAGTCCAAAATGGTCTTCTGTCATGTTCCATTGACTTTTTGGGGTGAGTGTTCTTTTGTTAACCAAGCTAGCTAGCTCTGCAGGCAAAAACTTTCTGATAGAAGAGGCTGTTGCAAATACTGTCATTACATTGTTGTTCATGTCATAGCTTGCAAAATCAAAGATTTTTATTACAGCTTGATAAAGAAATAAATTGTTTATAGGGCAAACTGTTCTTCCTTCACCTTCCCAAAACCCATATAGTGCCCATCAGCTGAACATGACTGACTTCTTACCCAGATATTGTCTTCAAGACAGTTAAATGGGGAAGGTTACTAACTACTTAGTCCTGAGCAAGTCAGCTGGCTTGGGATCTGTGTCAGAAGACAGAAACAGTAAAGACATCCTGTATTTTTTCAGTCTCACTTTTACTGGGCTTCATATTATTGTTGATTATGCACAATGGACAGAATTTCTTATCTGATTGAAAAATTCTGCAAAGGCAGCGTGCATATTTTCCTTGTAGATTACCCTGCACCCATGTGTACTCTGGTGCTTTCTGTTTTGACAGTCATTAGAGCTGCAATCCTCATCCAGAAGTGGTACCGCTTTACCATGGCCCGGCTGGAGATGAGGCGCCGCTATTCCCTCAGTATCTTTCAGTCAATCGAATACGCTGATGAACAGGACCAGCTGCAGGTTTGTAATCTTCCATTCTTCCTACATAAGCAGTTATGTTATCCCCAGGACTGTGGCTGCACAAACAAAATGGGGGTGTGGTGATTTCTTTTACAAAGCTGGATCTTGATTAATAAAACTGTTTCCCTGTCTGTCACATGAATTAAGTTGTGTGTATTCATGCACAGACATAGAGATGAATGTAACTACATAGACATCAGGACACCATTCTACCCATAGAGCATATCTAGGGTATAGGTTCCTGTATAGCAGCTCTGTTAGCCAGGGATTGCAGGTAATTTACAGATCACTGTGGGTGATCTTAACTGTCTGTGAGGCAATACATGTGCAACAGGATATCAGTGTTTCAGCCCAGTGTCAGTATCAGTGTCAGCCCAGGCTTCCTTTAGGGTCAATATAGGAAATTTGGAACTTTTAGGCCTTTGTGTTCATCCTAGCATGTGTCTGAAGTCAGTTCACTGCCTTGTAGCAGTTGTTTCTATTTACTATGAAGGAAGTCTAGGCAAATAGTATGGATGGTAGGCAAGATGAATTACACCTAGAAACATCAGCAGCACTGAAACAGCCCTGAAACATTTTATGTATTCCATGAAGTGTCAGTGGTGAATTCATAGCAAAAAAGGAAAGGGAGCTATTTTTGTAGTAGGACACAAACTGTGTCGTTATTGCAGGCTGATACTATGGGGGATATACAGTAGTGACTTTTATTCCCCTAAATGGGAAATTGCAAGTAATTGAGTAAGAAAGATATTAATGCTTGTTGGATCACCTAAACTGATCAGTGTGTTTGTTCTTTTCTTTTTCATACTCAGCTATCCAACTTTTTTACATTCATGCTGGATCATTGTACTCATCCTGAGTCAGGTAACAATAAATATAAAGGTAATATGGAGATTGTGTTTGAAAAACTTGATGTGAGGGAACTTAATTTTCAGTGTGATATTTACAGCCTATGGCATGTGCTGGGGTTGAGGTTTGATATTCTAAATATTGTAATATGAATTTGATCCTCTAAGTGTTGACACTGCTCACTATCTAATTAGTGAGTCAGAGCAGTCAGTAAGTCAGAACTGGTGCCTGTTTTCCTTATGAGAATATTCAGAGGTGCTCAGAGTGCTTTCTTATATGTTACTGCCCTTCCTACAGAATCCAATTTTCACAGCTTTCTGTTCATCTTTTCTTAAACTATGAGATGTGATTATTCAGAAAGATTGTGTTCAGTTGGTCTAAGGCAGTTATAATCAAAGAGATTGCTCTTTCTCCCCCACTACTCACCACCTCTGGCAGTTCTGGACCATGTTTTAATTTAATTTGTTCTAGATTTCACTGCAAAATGTATCAGTATGTGAATGATAAAAAAGGAAATAAATTTAAACTGCTGGAGATAAAGCTTTAGAAACCATCACAATTAAGCTTCAGTTATGCAAGGAATAACCTTTAACTTTTGAAGTATTTTGGGATCCTTGGACATAACTTACTTTTGAGGTCAAGCTCAACAGAAGGACAGACTGAAAGTGATTCCTAAGTCCAGATGACAAACATGACTTCCCTGAACAAATTCAGAATAGATCTAATCCCAGTGGAGTTGAAAATGAGGCTGTCCCCTTCTTGCTACATTACAACAGAATGCCCTTTCTCTTTCATCTGGTCTAGCCATGGGTTATTCCAATTAAAAATTGCACAAGATACTTTGATAGCAGGATAAAACTACCATCAAAACCTTAAGTGGTTCAGTGTTTTAATGACAACCGGTAGAAATCGCAATTTTTCTCTCTTAAATACTTTAGAGAGCCTAATGCTCTCTGTGCTCTGCAGAAAAATAAATTACATTTGAGCCTTGCTCCTAAAGGCAAGGCAGATGATTCAACAGTCCTCCCTTTGATTTTTTTCCATTTACTGCCATAATCTGTGAAAAAAAAAATCAGCTTTAGTCATTTAACTTCCTGGGAAGGAATTGGCAAACTTAAAGAAAAACACATACTGCTCACTTGATCTACTTCTTCATGCTGATGGTGCACCTCTGTTCAGCTTTTCCACCTGAATGGGAGAGAAAACAGTAGTGCTAGGTCTGAGATTTGGTAAAATATTGTTAATCTCTATTTTTATTATAATATTAAAATGGAATTTTACACATGGTTGTTGTAGCTATGATTTACCCCTCTTTATTAACTGTGTCTACTGACAGAATGAATAAAGGTGAGGTGTCTCAGATGACTTGCTAGGCTCAGGACGTTGCAGAGCACACCGCTACATGCAAGGGCTGTTCATGTGCAGGTGGAGATCTGAGCCTCACCTGTGCACAGGGAGGGAGATGGAAGGTCCTGTGAGCTGCTCCTCATCATCACTGCACAGCTGACCTGTTTATTGATCTTGTAGATATTGGGAATTGCAGATGTGGTTAAGGCTGAAACACATGATAAAGTGTATATGGTTTATGGTAAAGCACCCCTGTGTCTTGCTGGCTTAAAACTTCCATATTTCAGGACTGACGTTGTTAAGACTTGATAACTGCTCTAAAGGCTTTATTTTTGTCTTGGTGTGTTCCCCCTTTCTAACACCATGTGTTACAGATACCAGAACCCTAAACAAAACAGAAAAATAAAGAGATGGCCAAGGCTGCCTATGCAAAGGAGATTACTTAGATTTTTTTTTTTGAGGAATTGCATATCAGATGTGTATTGTGTGGGTTGTGGTTATTTTTTCCAACTGCTGGCTGTGTGCATTCTTTGCTTTAAGCTCTTGATTGCTTTCCTCTGGAAGCGACCTTTGCAGCACTCATGCCAGCCCCACTGATGTAAGCAAAATCATTACTGAATAGAGGGATTCTTAAAGAACTGCTTCCACTTCTGCTGAATCGCCATCTTAAGATGTGAACCACAGTGAATGTAAACATAACAACCAGAGAGGCTTCAAATTGACTTTGATATTCTCAAGCATTTTCTAAAACTTGCAGTTCTCTGGATTTTTATCTGTTTCATCAGTGTGTGCTCACTTAAATTAGAGTGATAGCATATGGTTCAAAAGCTGTCTCCAAGAAGACAGTATATAATATTCTTACCAAAGAATGGGTTGTCTGTTCTTCTCAGTATGTGATAAGAAAGTTACCTGAAAATTTTGTGATCTGTTGTTTTCCTTACATTATAAACTACTCAGCCTCCACCATTAATCTTGTTACTTTCCTCTTTTTAATATGTTTTTTTCAGATTATGTTTTTCAAAGAAAGAAAGAAGCTGCCATCTCATTAACACAGTTGTGCTTTTGATGTGATTGTTTCTGTTATACCCTAAAGCTTTTTTCATCCTCTCATTCTCCTTAAGATGTCAGTGTAGTTTGTGATTGGGATATTATATAGCCGAGTGTCTTGTTCTGCTTTTTATTAAAGGCTATTTTGCAAAGGTCTGTGGAAAATAAGAATAAAACCTTTTTCTAACTTACACTTTTCTCCCTCTTCCCTGAAAAAAATCTTCCTACCTTCTCAGCTTTCAATGGAAAGCTCTCTGGTCAGAGAAAGCTGGAAATTGCCTTTCCAGCAAAAGATGACCCATTTACTTACTCTTTTATGGGCACATTGTGGGTGAGAAGACTGCAGATGTATTCTGAGAAAAATGGTGGGACTGGGAAGCTAAACCTGTTCCTTTCAAGGTCACCAGGGCACCTCCAGGAGCCTTCCTTCAAAGGGAAACAAAAAAAAAAGTGTTGTTTTCTGCAGGTTCACTCCCCATGACGCCTCCCTTACATCTTTAACACCCTTCCAAGATGTTTTACACAGAGTGATTCTTGCAGTGGGGAATAAGTTATAGCTGCTTGCAGTTTGTAGCACCAGGGATGGTGTGAAGGAAGAAATATTTGAAGCATTTTAGAAACCTTCTTCCTCTTTGTAGGCTCAGTGTCCATTTGGCTTTGACCTGAGGGCTGTGGATCAGTATCTGGCTTATGTAAGAGCACTTCTCAGAAGTCAGATATGCTCTCAGGTACCCCAATGGTCAGCTGAAGGCACAAGATGGTGGCAGAACAGAGAACTGATTTCAGAGCTGCAGAAGTAGCTGATTCCTGGTTACTCTGATAGTACATCCTTGGCAGTGGCAGCTTTGACTTGCCTTGAAAAACTCCCATGGCAAGGTCTGGTCAGGGGAATCAGGTCTTTGGGCTTTCTGTGGCCAAATTGACTCCACTTAGCTCTGGGCATTGTGTTTAACATGGAATATGGCTGTAGTAGTTTAGGTTTTGTTAATAGTGAAGGCTCAGCCCTCTGAGTCTGGGCTAGAACTCTGGTGTCAGAGTACAAAGTAGGTCATTGCCTGTGCATCCCTCTAGTCTGTGTAGAGATACAGATGCTGGCAGAGAATGTTTCATTCTATCTTGACCTATGTGCCTGAACCAGGCATGCCAAGGCTTTTCATCCCTGTCTTTAAGTATGAACTGAAAGAGCCTTGAAAGTTTCGACTCGGAACAGCAAAATGTGAGGGATGCTGAATCCTTCAGAATTAGTTGTACATGGGGCATGTGGTGAGCTGGGGTACTTGCTGGACAGTGGTGATACCCCAAGCTGCATTAGGTCATCCATTACTGACTGTTCAGAGATGGGACAGTCATTCTGTGCAGGAAGAAGCCTTAAAATCCAGCTGAAAGACAGCCTGAGGAGCCATAAGCACACCCTAAGGGTAATGACCATGACTGGCTTTTAACAACTCATCCAGAAGTAGAAAATGGGGTGTACTTTGCAGAGATATGCCCTACTGGTTCCCAGCCTGAGCATGTGCCAAAATAGAAGTGAATATTTGAGGAAGGCAAGTTCATGTTCAGAGGTAAAGTAATGGATGGATGGCCTACTGTGTGCTGGAAGGGAAGGCAAGAGTAGGAGCAGGCACGGGCAGGTGTCTGCCTGGCTTGAAATGCTGAGAAGATCACTGATTCTGAAGGAGTCAAGTCAGATTTGGACAGCTGGTTAGAACAGGCAAGAAATGAGGCATTTGAGTGGTCTAAGGAGTTGGTTCTGTAGTCTCCACTTCTTGGGAAGTGGGGTACAGAGGGACACAGTGTCCAGAGGCCTGCTGCTAGAGCTGGAGCAAGAATTGGTGCAAATGTGCTTGGCTGATCAGTATATGAGAATCAGCAGTTTCAGTCCATGGTGACATTCCAGTGTCCAGCCAGACAAAGCTGTAACTGGGGTGGAAGATTGCAAATCAAACTGCACTTGGTGAAAATGGTGAACCCTGAGCACCTTGCTGTTACTTGATGCCTTAATCCATATAAATGGCTGAGTATAACATTGCATTAGCACTAAAAGTGTTAATGTATTAGCTGAATATAACATTGCATTCGCACTGAAAGTGCTAATCAGCTCACAGCTGAAGTACTGATAGTAAAAGGGGACTTTTTAAAATCCAGATTACATTTTTATCTATTTATTTATTTAATATGGATTTTACCCAGTTGCAAGATCAGTTGGGCTTTATGAATCTCATAATTTATGAGGCTACATGCTGGTTTTGGCTGCTGTGAGCTTTGAGTCACAGATACGGGTCAGCTGTAAATCAGAAATAAATAATACAGCTACACACCTGTAAATAATACATTTTTATTTGCAGTTGCAGGAAATCAGGGTTACAAAAAACTTAACTGTAGCCCAGCAAGAAGTGTTTGCAACAATCATCTCACAAGAGCGACTCTGCAACAGCATCTGCTAGAACACTTTAATTTAGGGACTGGTTCTCTCTTTTAAAATAATACATGACTAAGACAATCTGCAAGAACAAAACTCTGAAATCTGCTGATCAGCCAGTTACGTGTCAAGGTTATGTCAAGAAAAATATTGGATTGAAGCAATTAGTGTTCCTGCTTCCTTCATGTTCCAGGAAAATTAGAAGCTGTGCTTTCACCACTCTGTTTTTGTTTACTTTGTTTCATCCAATAGTTTTATGGCAGCCAACCAAAAGCTAGCATTGTTTCCTAGCTGTATCAGAAAGGAGTGATTTGCAATTGCTGTGAATAAATAGAATTTTGTTGGTGACTTTTAATATAATCACTGTGATCTGCTGGTATTTAGCCTAAAAATTTTAAGTAGAAAATAAAAGCAATAGAAGTGAATCTTCAAAACCTGTATTTAAAGTGTAATATTGAATTTTAAACAGATGATGGTCATTAAGTGATCAGCCATGATTTTTACATCTCCTTGCATCAGGGGGAAGGAGAAGGAAGTTTGTGCCAGGTGATGGTTCTTGTTACCTATGAGCAGACTCCTCCACAACTCCAGTGCAAAATGTTTTGCTCCCTGACCACAGTTACTGGCAGCTGGAAAAGAGTTTTTGCCTGTTTTTTACTTTGGTTTGGTCTTTGTTTCCTTGTTGTGGTTGATTGGTTGGTTGATTTTAGTATTGTGAAACAATCTGGGGAGACTGGAGCTTTTCCACTAAAGGAGGCAGGAGTCAGCCACTGTAATAGTGCAGCAGCTAAAGCAGTTACATTCAACCAGTTCTGGCCATGCTGTTACAGCTCTATGGGGGCCTGGTGGAGTTTCTACATTTTTGTTTTCCTTCTATCTTGTTCCAGTTTCTCAAATTTTCACGAGCCCTAGTGCTCCTCAGGTGGTGGATGAAGACTTATGTTTAAAAGAATTTGAAAAGAAGATTGATGTTCCAGATTCCTATTATGGACCACGACTCTCATTCCCCCTTACTGTTGAAGATGCCAATGCTCTCCTTCATGCTTTCAGGAATGAACAGGTAATTTGCAACTACCTTGTTTTCTTTTTTAACTTATTTTACATCTGTCAAGTTGTAGTCCACAATCCAATGTAAAGCTAAACTAGTGCCCAAAGAGATATTTCGCCCTTCTTTTACATCTCACTGCTTTTTCCTGCTAGCCCAATGTGATCATAAATGTGCATGGTAAGCTGCCTTGGGAAATTGATCTGGCTGTAAGCTAACACAATAAAATCAAAAGCAGACAGTTCTCAGACAGACAAGTTCCCACATTTGATTCGCTGCTTTGCTGCATGACCACCAGGCCCGGCACGGGGAGGAGGCAGGGATTAGTGAAATGAAATGGGAACCCTTAGCAGCTGCAAGGCAGGGGTTCTCAGTGAGAGTGTAGGACTGGGGAAGGTGTCCTAAGCTGAAATAGAAACTAATTATCATCTTTTTATGGGTTAAAAGTGTTCATTGTTTGGTCCTCTGTCTTTTGTCCCCCAGCTCATTCTTTTATAGGAATTGAGGTGTAAGAGTTAATCACCACATTGCAGGGTGCAAGACTCCACCATAACAGTGGAGTGGCTATAAAGCATTGCTAATGTAGCAGAACTGAGTGATAGCACAAATCTCTGGAGCTTAGGCTGCAGCTTCCAAGGCACTGAGGAGGCTGTTCCTCATTCTCTGTATTCCTGAGTAAGCTCTTTCATTGCCCACAAGATGAGGGTGGAGCAGGAAGGCATTAAATGGGACAGCTTTCTTTGAACTTGTAATTATTTATGCTTAAAAATATGCTGTATACAAGGGGCAAGGATCGGATCTATCATGCTTTTTAATTTACTAAGTAAGAATATTTTTATGTGGAGGCTGATTGTAAAAGTACCAAATACAAAGCACATGATAAATGAGCCAACCCAGACTTCACCTTACTGTCCACTCTCCATTCTCTTATTGGCTGGCATTTTATTGAGGAAATGGTCATATGTAATTGGCTTTTTGATTGCTTAAAGACATGAATCTTGAAAAGTCATTCTGTAGCTCATCTATCCTCTACTAAAATTCCTCAGATCTCTGTTGAAATTAAAAGCTTTAAAAATCACCAACTGACAAAATTTTCATAAAAAACATCAGGAGAGAAGACCAGAAGCTTCAATGTTGCACTATTATAACTTCTTCACTGTGAACAGGAACATAACCCTTACCAAGGCAGCTCTTACTGGAGTTTTCTTGTACTTGTTTTTGCAATTTGCTGAAATATCATTTATGGCCTTTGGGGTTTTTTTGTTGGCTTGTGTTTTGGAGGTTCTGTGATTGTTTGTTTTGGTTTTTACTCACATCTAGGATGTCTCTTGACATCCTTTTTCTTTTTTTCCCAGTTACTTTAAACAGCTGGCCTTATGCAGTGATTTTGAGTGCCCTTTAAGTCTTATCTCTTCTGAAAACCAGGAAGAATAGAAACAGTACAGTATAAATAAAGTAGGAAAATCTATAAAACATGTTCAGTAAGGGCTCCATATCCATTCGCTGGGAAGCAAATGCAAAGCTATGAACACTCCTAATTCCCAGCACTAGGCCATAAAGCCTGTACTCATGTCTGAAGGTCTGCACTATAAATAACTTTGGCAGTACATGTCTGATATTAATAAAGCAGACTGACTTATTGCTAATTCAGATAAGTCTTCCTTTTCTACCTGTTTTTTCTTCTCACAGCTGCTTCATGCCCGCTATGTACTGCAGCTGCTAAGTGAAACTAGGAGAGTTCTCAAGGAGATGCCAAATATCACCCATCTTTCAACTTCCTACTCCAAGGAAATAACTGTCTGTGGTAAGGTGCCAGAAAAAATAACTGCTTTGGACTATGGGTTGATATTCTAAGTGGTTAGAGAATGATACTGTCATTTCCAAATTTTGCCATTAGAAGTAAGTTCTCAATGCCCTAAAAAATTATTTCTTTTTACTTATTTTCCCCCACAAATGCATAAATTGGAGCAAACAAACAAAAGAATAAAGTTCCTGAGTCATAAAGTATATTTTAGGAAATTCCCTCACCTCCTCTTTCCTATTCTGTTTAACATTTCTGAATGAGTCAGTATTAATTCAGCTAACACTACAGTGAAGCTTAAATACTCCTGCACTTCCACCTCTAAAATGCCACCAAGTATTTCGATCACTGGCTTTGAGTCTCACCTCTTTCTCCTCTCACTGAGAAAAAAAACCTTACTCAGTAATGATTTTAATGATTTTAATCATAATTACTCGGTAATGATTTTAATGAGAGTTTAATATGGGTGGCAAAAAAAGACCTTTCATTGACAGCATGGCAATCTAGAATAAATTGAAATTATAATAACCCCTCATTTCTAAGGAGACCCAAGAGGATGGATAAGTCTTTATACAACCAACAATTTAGTCTCACAGAATGATGTGTCACACAATAAGGAACTAAGAGCTCTTTGCCCATCTATTTTGTTACCCTTTTGTAAATTATGAATAATGGGATGCAGTATCCTGCCTTGATACAGAATGCAGTAGCTGCAAAACAGAACAATAATGGTGACATAACTCTTGACATCTATCAGTGTGTGCTGTGTGTAATAGTAAAGTTGTATAAGGGAGGTACTGTGAGACATGCAAAATAAACAATATTTTTTAATATGTGTTTATGGACCTACTTTGATTGCCAGGAAAGGGTTTTTTAAAATGAGGTTTTGTATAAACAATAATTTATTAACCAAGCGAATAAGACCCATTTCCAAACCAAGGAAACACAAGATTTATGCTTGTTCACAACACATGATCTCATTAACTAAACATTCCTCTTCATGTTTATATTGCATTTGCACTATATAAGCAGCATCAAAAGGGATCCCTCTCCTGTATGAAACGAAAAGCTTTTGTCACCAGAAAGAGCCTGTGCAGAAGATAGATAACGCATTTTTAAACATAATTGGTCCAAAATGTTGATTTCCTTAAGGTATCACTCTCCATTTCTTACAATTTCAAATTAATAATACAGATTAAATATATACCTGAAATGTTTGCATCTACATGTGATAAATATCTATCATAGCTTGAAAGATCCCTTAGAACAAATTCAGCAGGTTCATAATTAATCAAAAGCACAGAAAATGTATACACGTAAAAATGTCACTTCTCTTTTCCTAATTATTGGTGGTAAAAGCATGTTATCACAAGATAGGTTTTGAAACTATTCTGCAGCTTTGTGGTGATGAGTCACAGACATGAAAAAGTTGGCTCCGTGAGCATGAAATGCAGTCAGATGCACAGGGGATCTGCAGTGATGCGGTGCTGCAATGATGCTTTGCGTTGGGGTGAAATCCTCCTGCCTGTTCCAAGTAAGCCTGTCAAAAAGGGCCCAATCCATCATTCCTGTGGCCTTAGCATTGAGGCACACAGGCATGAATGGTTCTTGACACTCTCCATCACTTCCTACTGGTCGTAACCAAAACCTGTCCCTGAAACATAAAAAGGTATTAGATCCAACTAATTCCAGTTTTATAATTCCAGTGTCTTCCTCCTCTGTGAGAAAATTTTTTAAAAATTGTTTTTGTTTCCTTTAGGAGATTTGCATGGAAACCTGGACGATCTTTTGCTGATATTCTATAAGGTAAGTAGGTACTCGGAGATGTAGCATTTTCACTTTATGACTTGTTATTGAGAACAGATATTTATATGTGACAGATTTATCACCATTAGAACTGCCCATGTGGTGTCCGTACACCACACACACAAATCCTGGAACAATTTAGTGTCTTTGTCAGAGCTTTCCCTTCTTCATATCCTCCTGCTCACTGTGAAGGAGATTGAAGATATTATCATTTTCCTGAATGTTGAACTGCAGCATGAGCCAAAATATAAGAGGACTCCTTGCAAAGTCTCCAAAGTTCTGCCACTGTTTTTAATTCCATATTGACTAAAGTCTGCTAAAATCAGGAGCTGAGTTCCTGATGTAACACTACACCATGGATAATTGTAACATTAAATGAAAAAATGCAGAAGCTTTCATTTAGGCCTTCCACTGATACCTGCATGTTTTTTGGCGTGCTTTTGGGTTGGTTTGGGGGTTTTTGTTGTTTGGTTGGGTTTCTTTAGTTTGGTTTTTTGGGTTTTTTGGGTTTTTTATTATTGTTGGGGTTTTTTTGGGAGGGAAGCGTTTTTGTTTTTATCAGGAAACAAGAAAGAGTGGTGTTTAAAAGCTTTTTAAGCCTTGGAAGCAATTACATGGTCTGCAAAAAATAAAAGTGCTTTGGGCACGCTTTACATATCCTTTTTTGTCTTGCTAAAAAAGCATAGCTCTGTTTTACTGATGTGTAAAACAAATTAAGCTCCAGGCTAGCTTTTCCACAATTGTATGTTTAACTTAAGATGCAGGAAATGCTGTGTATTTAGTTTCACATTTATCTTCAGGATGAATCACCACCTTTGATTGAGCAGGTACTCTCTTTGATTTGAGCTTTCCGGGGCAGGGGGGAAGGGTTTGTGTCAGATCCTTACATTCATCTGCACTGAATGGAGACTGCAGTGAGCTAAACCAGGTGTTTAAATTATGTAATTCTCCCCCTGATTCCAGCTTTGTTACACTTCATCCGAGACTTGTTCAACATAAATGTGGTTGTTTTGCCCAAGTGCACACCTGAAGTCTGTTGAAGTCTAGTTAAAATACAATCAGACCTTTTTACAGAGGCCATTTCTTACTAATCAACCATGTTTAGCTGGTCCTTGGCTTGCAGTCTTTTGGTTGTTTAGCTGTCTTTTTTAAAACTGGAATAAGTATGATACATATTGGTTTCATACACAGAACCTGGAATGGGAAATATAAGAATTTTGAAGATAAATGCTCAGATATAATTATATTTACAACTGTAATCAGCCTGCATTTTATTTTTTTGGAGAAAACAGATGCCGATTCTTCCCCCCCTCTAATGGATGTTATAAAGAGAAAAAACAAGCAACTCTCATCCTGACTTCAGTAAATTCAGAGCCAAAACTCCCACTGACTTCAGACTAGAGATAACACCCAGTTGTTCCCTGTTAAATTTCTAGGGAAGTCCCTTCCATCAAATCAAATAAAATGGGCAAATATTTTGTCATTTCAAAGTAGTTGAGAATATAGAGAGCATATGATAGAGCTGATTAGTTATTTAGAAGCAATTTAAATCACACTACTTTCTGTCCCTTCTGAGCAGTTGATTCAGATGAGCAGTAAACCCAGTTGGCTTCTGGGATCCATTTTTCTTTTCTCCTTCCTAAACTCTGTTTCAGTTGGAAGAGATTTCATCCTCCAGGTTGGTACAAACTACCATAAACAAGAGGGTGCAATCCTAAACAATGCCATGGGAGTGATCTTGGTCTGCACAGGGCTGTGCAGAGCTGAAATGGATTCTGGAGGCCTGCGTGCAGACCAGGCTTGTCACTTCCACAGACCACCCCCAGCAAACACACAGAGCTGGCAATCTACAGCATATTGCTACAGTGCTGCAGATGGTGTATAATCCTTACACCTGGTTTGGCTGAAGTTAAGACACTTACTTTTTTTTTCCTCAATAACCAGTTTGTAAGGTTCATTCAGACCTTGCATTAATCTTCATTAAATTACAGTGTTTCCTGATATTCCATGAAACACTTGAATTTTAAATGATGTATTGCTCAGTTCGATTGTTAAAGGGATGCTATAGATAGAAATGGCCTGAAGCAGTAGAAAATGCCAACAACAAACAGAAGTTAATTAATCACTAACCCAGGAGATACAGTAATGATGCCCAGCAGCAAGTTGCTAATCGTTAGAGGGCCTTGTTTGCCTCTTTGACATGTCAGAGGCTGCAACAGCCTTTAATTTAGTTTTGCTCTCATTGTTGGTTGAAACCACAGAAAAGGAAAGTGCATGAGTGTGGAACAAAACTAAAATTGAAGTTGGAAGTCCAAACCAAACTTGTTTAAAACTCAAACTGTGTGTAATCTTTTCCAAAAGAAGGGGGATAGTGTCTGGAGGGTGCTCCAGTAAATGTGTCTTTCCACGAAGACTGCAGTTAGAGTGGTTGTGTGTATACTCACAATCTGCTGGTGGATTCACATGCCTATTGGCTTTAAGGCAAAGCCTTTATTTATTTATTATTTATCTATCATTCCAGAAATTGCTGCTGAGTTTCTGCTGTCTGTTCCACTCCTGAAATCCGTCCTCTCCTTTTTAAAATCACTTCAACCCACTGCATTAGAAGAGCCTCATACATTGCCATGCCTGTGAGCACAGAGCAAGCAAAGGCCCCTTCTAAGTTAACTTGGAAAGGGCTCAGGACAGGCTATAGCAAAATCCAAGGAAGCTGAATTCACAGCAGCCAGGATGGAGAGACTAGAGTTCACTATTGCAACCTAACATGAAAGCCCAGAACACTGACTGAGACAAAAAAGATATTCTTATAAGGATTTAAGTGACAGTCCCTGGCCACATTACACATCCTGCAATAAACCCACTAAGGCAGAATACCAGTAATGCCATAGGAACACAAGAAAAGCTTGACACCGATATCGTAGATATATTCAAGAAGTGGGATGTCCTGCAATGCTGCCAGAACTTTTAAGAGTGGCTTCCACAGTTATAATGTAATTTAATAGATGTTCTATTGATATTTCTTATGCATATCAATTGAGAAACCAGAGGTTTCCCTTTTTTCGCAAGTCAAAATTGAAATACTATTTCTGATACTCATGACTGGAAATGATGAAGCTACATATAGGTGGTGCTTTATTTTCTGTAAGCTGGTGGCACCCATTAATGTGCTGGTAATTAATCTAATAAAACATACCATCAATTAAAAATACTTGTCTTTACTAAATCACCATTTATAATAAAGGATTCCTTTGTATCTTCAGAAGAAAAAAAATAAGGTAAGAAATACCTGTATATACAACCTCTCAGATTTGTGAGCTTTCAAGTATATCTTGGCTCTCATGAGTGAAATTCAACTAGTGCTTTCAGGATTAAAACAACTGAAATCAAACTCTTCAAGCCTTAAATTCTGTCTTAAGAGTTTATATCCTCTGGACTATAGTCCTTCTCAGGAGTTTTGGAAGCATACACTGCAAACAATGTAAATATATATGAAGTCCATTCAAACTTACATCAGAAGATAATTTTTCATGTATTTCTTATCTTCCATTCAAACTTCTGTTTGCAAGTGCATAATTTCCTGGCAACATTAACAAAAACGTATATTTTACTACAAGACTGATGTCCTTTTGGTCCCTTTCAATTTAATTTAATAGGTAAGAGAAAAGGATTAGAAATGGAATTGTAAGAACAGCCAGAGATGTCCTTTCTTCTCTAATGGCTCAAGTTGTCTGATATGAAGACTTTTATTCTAAACAATGGAAATAAAGAAATGCTGCATTTTAGATCTCTGTATTACGCAGGATTTTTTTCAGAATTTCTAGCAATGGGATCTCATCTAAATGCAATTTCTTTTATTACAGTAGTATAGCAGCCTCTCTAAATGTCCCCCCCCTCTTTTCTTTTCTTTCTGCAGAATGGTCTGCCTTCAGAACAAAACCGCTATGTCTTTAATGGTGATTTTGTCGACAGAGGGAAAAATTCTATGGAGATACTCATAATCCTATTTGCATTTCTTCTTATCTATCCCAATGATTTACACTTGAATAGAGGAAACCATGAAGACTACATTATGAACCTGAGGTAGATTTTGGGAGTGGGGCAAGTAATATCTGGCCTACCAATAGAAATTTTTGAGCTTTTGAATGCTACTTTAGCCAGTGTGACACCCTAAAACAGAAATAATATTTTATTAAGTAGTCAGGTGGAGCTACGCATTTTCAGCGTGTATGGGGAAGGAATATCCTTAGTACACACACAGACATTTGATTGGCAATTGTGTCTTGTCTTTGCTCTAATCATAATCGGTTGAAGTCAGAGGGCTTAGTGCGACTTCTAGAGTATCAAAATTGGGGAGGAATGGCTGGAAGGATTGTATTTTATTTAAAGCAGATATTTAGCGAAATCTGATATTTTAGTTAACTTTGAACTAGGATTTCAATTCTCTAACACAAAGGGCAGGTAAATATCGTACCCTCTACTCAGAGGAGCTTCATCAGTTGGAGGTGTCAGTGCAGGAAAGCTGACACCCTGTTTTCTAACACAGACATTTGCACTCAGCTCTGCAGTGTAGGCAAGGGAGTGAGCACAGCCATTGGCTCCAGCTGTAGTCAGGGTGTGACTTGGAGACAAAAAGCATCTCAGAGATGTGAGAACTCCTCAGTCCTACTCCCTACAATTCTAAACTACCCCAGAAAGCCTTTGGGTGACTGACTGGTGGGTAACCTGCTCTACCCCTTGGATCATTTGATGTGTGCACACAGGATGTATTGCTGTTTGAACACAGGCCTCTCTGTTAGCACCTGGGTCAGAGGCCCATAGGCAAATCCTACTAATGATCCACAAAAGAGACTCAGTTTCATGTGATAATTACTTTTTCAGCACTTAATTAAAAACACCCCAAAAAACAACAAACATAAACCAAGACAAGTTACTTAATCTAGAAGGTAGGAAAAGTCCTCCCCAAAATAGCAGAAATTATTAACTAAGTCTGTGATGGTATGGAGTGCACAGATGTGTTCCTGTCTATCACTCTTTACTCTGTGTTTTGATTAGCAGTTCTGCACATTGGTAAATTTGAAAACGCCCCTTGATGAAGGGTATCTCGGAGTTAAAAGAATTAGGTACCAAAATCCTTGTCCCTTGTGGGGGAAAAGACATGACAGTTGGATGAAGCTCTGAGCAATCTGATCTAGTGGAAGGTGTCCCTGCCCATGGCAGGGGGTTGGAACAAGATGATCTTTAAGGCCCCTTCCAACCTAAACCATTCTTTTATATGATTCTATCATTATATGATAGTTCAGACAAAAACTCTCTGATGATTTTGTGGGAATTGTTGCCTATCATCAGGTTCCTTTAGAATTTCTCCGCAGTATCTAAAAGGTAGAGCTGGCAAAAAGACCTCTTAGTAACTACTAGGCTGGATTCTGTTCCCAGCCTCTGTTTTGCACAAGAAACGAGTTTAACTCAAATCTCAAGACAGAGTGGAGGAAAGCGTATTTCAGCTGAGGTGAGATGGAATGGCAAGTGAAAAAGGGGGCTAGAAATCTCCAGGAAAATGCCATAGCACAGGAAACCATGCAGAAGGTGCATACTGAAAACCAGTTCATGATACTATCCTGTTTTCAGATATGGATTCACAAAAGAAGTTTCAAAGAAGTACAAGGTAAGATTCTTCCTTCTTCCCCTATATTTTTTTAGTAGAATTTCACATGTAAAATGAAACCTATGTAAACAAGAAAAATTCAAACTACTTTAGGTGTAGCAGAGCGTTACTTTAGTGATGTAGGTGAAATTATTTTGACCTATCAGTGGAATAACTGACGAAACAATTTTAAGTGCTAGTTTCTTATGCCTAGAGATCTATGGGATGAAATAAGTAACATCCATAAGAACACTCAAGAACACAAAAAGAGATGAACATGAAAGAAAATACAAAATGGCCCTAAAGTAAATGTCAGAAAACGTTTGTCAGGGTTGTAGTTCAGGATATCACCTGAACAAAACTGTTCATATAAACTGTAACAGACACTTCAGCAAAATATTGAACTTAAAAGCAACAGAATCTGCCAGAAATAGGATCTAATGTAAAAGTATATTTTACAGGACCATTGGAAACAGATTTTGTGTCTTCTGCGAGATGTTTTTAGCTGGCTTCCCCTTGCAACTATAATTGATAGCAAAGTTCTTATCCTACATGGGGGGATTTCAGACACCACAGATCTGGATTTCCTGAATGCACTTGAGAGAAATAAGGTAAGAGATCATATTCATGTGAGGGTAATTTTGTTTTCTTTAAAAATGTTGCAGTACAAATGCTAGGATCAGGTAATTTTGCATTAGGAAAGGAAATGGCATCAGTATAAGGCATGTAAGAAAAATAATAGTCCAATTTTTCTTCAAAATCAGGACTTAGGAAGCAAGGATGCAGTAGGTGTTGAGAGCCAGTTGTCTGGCCCTCCACATAACATGGGTCTTTTAACCTTAAAATAGCTAAAGCCAGTTTAGATGCCTTCTCCTGCAGCGATGACACATTAGCCAAAAAATATGAAAACTACTTGATTCCTGGGCATTTCCTTTAAACACTTTAGAAATCAATTTAGCCACGTATTTCCAGCACTGCCTTTTTTCCTGAGGCTGTGCTTCTGCCATCTGTTATGTGGGGGAAGTTCTCCACCTGTGAGGCGCTCCCTTGGCAGCAGCTGAGTGTTGTACATGTGGGAGAGCCTTTCCAGAAGGATCAAAATTCAAGAACTGGCCTTGATAAAACATAATCTACTGCTTTTCAGGGATTTAGAAGACAAAAATGTTCATGTTTTTTTCTGAAATGATGAGCAAACACAGACCGTTCAAAGCAGCTGAAAATAGTGGGGGATTTGGTCTCAATATGAACAACTAAATCAAGATGTCTGCTTGTGATCAGGGTGCTGAGACTCCTTATAATCAGTGGAGATCCAGGAGATTGGTGGAGATCATTACTTAGGCACACGTGTCTAGTGCTGTTCAAGGAAGTGCCCCATTGGCTAGGGATGTCCCCTCTGGCCTTAACCTGCCTCTGAAGGAAATCTTCTCTGTAGGTCCCCTCTACCAGTCTCCTTTAGGCCAGATTGGTGTCTGCCCCCCTCGCACTAACTCACAGCCATAGTGGAGCATCTCAGATGGCATAAGAGACCAATGTTTGAGCAACTTAGTGTACCCTGTAATCAATGTCTGTGGAATCTAGAGCTGTTTTTGTCATCCATATTTTCTAAAGCAGAAATAAATGCTTTGAAGGACAGTCAGTTGTGTCTCTTTTTTAAAGATATGAAAAAGGGCACGAGTACTTCTGATCATTGGAGTCTAGGCTCCTTTAGCTGCACCACTGTGCACTAAAACTGGGTGCCTAAATCCAGATAGAGGTGTCATAACCATGAGCTGAGTTCTGCCCGTGCTTTCACCAGGGCTCAGCTCTGCATGTTCCTGTGAAATGCAGTATCTGTGAAACGCAGAATTAACAGGTCAAAGTAGCTGCCACAGGAGAGCATTGCTAATGAGACATGTGTGGGCCACAACCCAGGGCAGTGTCATTCAAGGCCAAGTGATGTACTGTAATTGGTACAGCTGGCAGCTGACAGGTTTCAATACTGGTCAGTGCACTGGTGAATAACTCTTGTGTTGTGTATTTGTTTTGAATTAGTCCTTTCCTTTGTTAAACAGTAAAATCTGGGGGTCTGCCGAGTTGGGATTTTGTGTTTTGCTTTGCGTTTCTTTTGGTTGGTTGGTTGGTTTGGTTTTGGGATTTATTTTGGCTTTGTTCTAGAAATAAGCTAGTATGAGAGAATTTCAAATGAGAAGACATTCCCTGTCCATGTTAATGGTCATTCGTGGAACCATAGAGAACCACTCCAGAAAAGCAAATGCCCATGCATGTTTGAGGAGTTTGATTTAACAGTATAAGGCCTGATGTAATATTCCATCAGTTTCACTACTGTCTTCCTGATACTCAATTTAGCCAAATTAATCTAACAGCATGGTACTGTGTCAGAGCAGAAGTGAATGGAGTTTCACCTTCTGTACAATTTGAATGCATATTTTGTTTCCAGGGAAGCTTGGCATTGAAGTGTCTTCCCTGAGACCAAGCCCCACTTGCTGCATAGCGAGACCTTCACATTTACTGTGTTTGGAATGAGTGTGTGTGTCAGAATAAGAATATGAAAGCAGCTCTGAAGAGCCTGGTTACCGATAGGTATAAAGCAAAATTTCTGCACGTGCCAAATACTTGCAGCTTCTCCCAAACCTGGAAATCGGGATATTATGAGAGTTAACATTAGTTGAACTCTCAAGGAGTTCTCTGGAGTACAGGAAACATGAATGGATGTGCCTTTTAGCCAACATCTCTGTATCAACTTCTGTTGTTGTGATAGTAACTTTTTTTTTTAAAGCTGAAATCTTTGATGCGGCCACCAAAGTCAGTGAGAAACAGACAGGACCAAATGAAGAAGAGAATTCCCACAACCAAACCCAGTAAACACATTGCCAACCAGCATGTTGCAGGGAAGACACAACACATCTCTTCATCGGGCTTCACTGAGCCTCCAGGTTCAAATTTGCCTCCAGACCCCGCCCTGAAGGAATGGAAACAGGTAGGTGAAACCAAAGACGCACTGATACCAAACCCCTCCCGCACAGACTCAGCCGGTAGTGTGCTCATGAGTCTGAGTGAACTGTCTCTTAATAGGAAAACAGTCTACCTAAGGACTATATTAGATACCTATTAGGGTTTTTTGGATGCATTTTGTAGACCTGGTAATAAAAGCTTGGGGTTTTATACCTTACAAATAAAATTCATCCATTTTTTTTTTCATAGCCATTAGGAGGAGCAAACTGCTCAGTAGGAAATGGGTTTGCCTGCCCTCATGTGGTTGGATCTGTTGGTACATCAATGGTTGTTGGTTTAAACAGGTCAGACAGCAGTTGTTGGTGAGATAAAGCACCTTTTTTTGGCTGTGCTTTTGGCAGCTGAATGCTGATATAGCCCAAAAAAAGCCACCCAGCTCCTGAGACATACAGGCAGATTACTCAGAAGTGGGAGGGTTTTGTCCTCTGGCTGTTAATTTCATCTTGAATATCAGAGCAAATACAGAGCTTTTGTTATACTGTAATTTAATAAATGGTGACAATTTGAAAAGCTTAATTTCTCTGAAAATCTGATTTCCTAAGATACCTATCTGACCTAAAAACTAACATCATTAGCAGAAGCGGCTCCCCTTTCCCCCCCCCGCCCAAATCTGACACTCCCCCAGCTAATCAAGCATGCATTAAGCCATGCTCACCAACATGAAATGGAATATGTTAGTGCAAACCTTGCCCAGAAAAGTTTAAACAAACACGTTTTGAATAATGTTTGCTACTGACAAGAATTAAACCATGATAATCCATCTTCATGTCTGAACCTTGCTAAAATGCTGATAATGTAAAATGTCGGTTTGAAACATGAGCTAAGTGAAGACATTAAAGCCAAAGGCAACTCTTGTCATGTTTAGAGCAGGTACTCCAAGCTTAGGTAAAACCACTGACCAATGTGGCTGTCTAGTCTGTGCTGGGAAATAGCAATTGCCTCTCCTACCTACATGTGAAGAAAGCAGCCTTTTTTCTCATTGAATTAGCCCAGGTAATGTTTCTGGTGCACCTGCCCAAGTCTGAAAACCTCAGCTGTGAAAGGAGGTACATTGCTGAAATTATATTTCTTCTGAAACAAAAAAGTTAATCCAAAATCTAGATAATGTATCTTAAAAAGTAGAACAAAGGTCTCAGCCCAAAAGAATATGCTTCTGAAAAGAAGGAAAAACCCCAAGACCTATGTGTTTTCTCCCTGTACTGTGGGGCTTTTGCTGTGGCCACCACTTTAGACAGCCATAGCCTGTCAGTCTTCCCTTGCTATCAGTCCTCCCTTGCTTGAGTTTGCTATTTATAGATCCTTGACATTCTGTGGAGTGATCCAAGAAGCCAAAATGGCTGTACACCAAACAAGTGTCGAGGAGGAGGCTGTTACTTTGGTCCCGATGTCACTGCCAAGCTGTTTGAGAGATATAATCTGAAGATGCTCATCAGGTCTCATGAATTTAAGCCAGAGGGTTATGAGATCAGTCATGATGGGAAGGTAAGATGCTTCCATGTAAAGTAGAATTACCATGTGAATTTCACAGGAACATCCACGGTAGATTTGTCTGCAAAATTTATTTTAAAAAAAGAGAGTCACTTTGTTAAACTGAGTTTGGGGGAACTTTGTTCTAGATAGATGTTACAACAAATTACTGAGTTCCAAGTAACAAAATTCTTTACATCTTTAGGGAGTGGGGACCAATTTACTTAGATGAAAACATGTATTACTTACATGAAAAAAAAATGGACATCAACAGAATCCCCAAAAAGAGTTGTGTGTAAATACAGTTCAAGACATGCTCTAAGGCTCTAGAAGCCCTTAGCAGATTTCTCTTCTGGCCCTGCTTTCTAACATGCTGTATTGGGAGGGCAACAAGAATCCTGAAAATCAGGTCTCTCTTCGAAAGGGGTTTCTCTTAAACAGCATGTTATATCTCATTGCTCTCTGAAGTCTGACAAGTCAAAAATAAATGCCCAGAGCTCTGACTCAAAAGGCAAGAGCAATTTGGTGAATGACACAGTTTTACATGTAGACATGTGGACACATAATTTTGTAACCTGGAATTTTTTCTCAAATTGGTTTCAGAAATAAGTGTCAAGAAGAGCTATTCTGGCCAATCCAGTTTCTTTGTTTCCTATGTCAGGTTATCACCATATTCTCTGCCTCTAACTATTACGAAGAGGGCAGTAACCGGGGCGCTTACATCAAGCTGAACCCCGAGCTGACCCCTCGGTTTGTGCAGTACCAGGTCAGCAAGTTCACGCGCAGGCGGAATCTCCGGGAGAGGTAAAGCTGTGTGTTGCATGCAGTGAGCATGGAGCCACCTCACAGTGAGTGTACCTGCCACAAAGCTAGAGCTTGACTGAATAACTGAATAGGCATCCGTTTTCCTTGATTCTCACTGGCTTTCTGTTTTACAATTTAAAAATTAATACAGTAGACAAAACATGATCTGGGTGCTTAACTTGGTTTCCTGAAAAATACCCAATGGTAATTAGGTGAGGTAAGCAGTTAGAACAGACAATTGTCAGGGACTCATAAATGGCCTGCACCTGTCTGCTTTAAGGCTGCAGTGTTAATCTGGACAAATCCTGTTATTAACTGAGCCTCAAAAGTTTATCATGACAGCTTTGCCATGCCTAACAGTGTGGTCAGATTACTAAAGGAAAGCAGCTTAGAATTACCTGCATAAACTCAATTATCTCACAAACTCAGTTTATTCTTGTGGAACATTTGTTTGGTTTGGGGTTTCCCCCCACTGAATGTTGTTCTAGTGTGTTTTGGGTCATCCTACTTAAACATACCAGACCTTAAACATGCTACATGTTAAAGGATATAAGAATTTTATAATGAGGGTTGAAAAGTATAACCTGCTAGAGGAATTTAATCCTTTATTAAGCTAATTTTTTTTTCCTCCTAGGGTAGGTACAATTGAATCATCTGCCTTAAAGTCCTTGCGAGAGAAGATTTATGCACACAGGTCTGAACTCATCAGTGCTTTTGCACAGTACGACATCAATGGCACAGGTACTGCTTCCTCTCTGTCTGGTTCCCACCATGGGGAAAACAGCTTCCATGTGTGGGAGGCAGAGGGGACAAACTCCATTGAGAGGAGTCCTGCCTGCCTGCCAGTATCAGGCTGAGAGCAGCAGAGGCTGGTTGACCTTGTTTTTCATGACCACAGAGGAGGATAGGCATTGGGAAGGGCTTAGCCCAAACAGCTTGAGGGGATGAAGCTTGAAGTAGGAAAAAGGAAAAAGAAAAAGGAAACTGAAAGACATGGGCAAATAAAGCAATTATGTTTGCTGTTGGGTAGAGAGTTTGGGCAGGCAAATCCAGTTCCAGAAACTCAAAGGTCACCACCGCCTTCATGCAGGACTGTCTTCAGAATGTGTCAGGCAGGGAAATGGGGTCAGGTGGGGGGATGTGGAATGGGTCTCCTTCTGAGTCAGGGAAGTATCTGAGGAAAGTTGCCTGCCTATGCCTCTAGCAGACACACACTCACCCCTCAGCTGAAGAAAAGTCAGTGCTAAGTTAATAGATGAACCTTTTACGTAGAAGCAAGAAGTTGATTTCTGCCACAAATACAACTTTTCCTTGTGATGGCTTCTCACTTGACTGTGTCCTTACAAGGACACTCAATAACACAATATTCTTTCTTTGACCACTGAACAGCTGTTTCACATATTTCTGTGTGGTTGAGTTTTCATCCACGTCATTCTAATTGCAGCCCAGCTGAAACCTGAATTATTATTCATGGCATAATCTGGCTTTCTCAAAAAGTGTTAAAACATGCTGAACATCTTAACAGCATCACAACTTTGTGACTGGAAGGGACCTGTGGAAATGCCTAATCTAACCCCACTGCTCCTTTCTTATGAGGGCTTTTATCCCAGAGTTCAGAGAAAATCCTTGTGTTTTGTAACCCTTTGTGCTGGTGACTGATGTGTGCTGTGTCCTGTACTTTTAACCATGACCTGACCCCTTCTGGCAGGCAGGATTTCTGTCAACGACTGGGCTGCAGCAATGGAGTCTGTCCTACAGCTGGAACTGCCCTGGAGGATGCTGCGGTCTCAGTTAGCACAGATGAACCCAGATGGAGAAGTTGACTTCATGTCATGTTTTTATGATTTGAAAATGGGTCAACCTATAAAAGAGGTAAAGAGGAAAACACTTCCTTACAAGTCTTGGAGGAACAACTTTTGGTGCAAATTGAAGCACAAGACAGTAGTTTGGCCCAACCAAGTAGACATCTACAGCTGAACTAGTTGCTGAGCTTCCTTTTATAGTCACTGGAGGAAAATGAGCACTGCTAGGGTACAAATCATCATTCCCTGCTAAGGTAGATGCTTAAAATAGGTTGGATGAATCACATGCTAGAACTGCTTCTTACTTTCTCTTGGCTCTGGAGGGCGTTTAGATAAGGGAGCTGAGGAGATGTGACAAATCCTGCCCAGAGCACTCAACCCTTACTCTTTGAAATAAGCATTTCAAACAAGCTCCAGAGGCAGCTCAGGGCCCTGTGGGAGGAAGTCACATTTATAGATGGACTTTTAGATGTTTATAATGGTATCTGAGGTCACTTCTACAGAACCCAGTTGTTACCAAATGGCTGCACAGTGCTTTGGAACAGAGGTATCACCACAATCTTCCTAAACAGCAGGATCCATTCACATCTGTACAGTGAGTGCTTTGTATGAGTGCATGGTCTACGCCATCTTCCCTAGATTATCCAAGATTATTTCCACAAATAATTACTGAAGGGCTCCTTTCCTCCTTGCCCTGCCATCTGAAAGTGATGGGTTTTATCTGATTATTCCTCAGGGCAAGACACAGAAGTGTCATTCCAGACAACTCAAACATAAAGATTTGTTTTTTTCACATTTGACAAGCTAAACTGGGAAAATGGAAATTGGGTAGTAGATATTCTGTTGGTTAAATTAACTCAAACCAAGGTCTGAATAGCTTCTTGTATGTGATTTCAAAACCAGGCTCAGCCAGCTTTGGCAGAAACACTGTGCAGATACAGAAAGGATCTGGAGATCATCTTTAACATAATTGACAAAGATCACTCAGGTAAGTCCAGGTAACTTTACTGTGTCAGCTCTAGGGAGCCTATACCAGTTATCTTTTCCCCACTGTTTCCTCCTCAAGGCTTCTAAATATAGAGGAACCAGAGGGGATATAATTTCTCTAGTTTAGTGGAAACTACTTTAAGCAGTCAGGCTGCAATCATATAAGGGACAGTGCACAGAGCCTAACAAGAAAAGATTCTCACATACCCCAGCTCCAGTATTGGCTTTGCTCTTTTGGGGGCTTTTTCTCCCTTCCGCTCTAGTTTTACTCTTTACTGCTTTCTCAATTCCACTGTCAAAAGCATTCAATCATTACCTAAAGGAAAAATGTGCTTCAATAATGAAAGCACTAAGTCCACCATGGTAGGCAGGTAACTTTCTTGTAGTGAAGGAGGGTTCATGTGTGTGTTTATGTAGGAAGGGGAAAACAACACTGCCAAAAGCAAGCTATTGTCTGTCTCCTTTAGGTTTGATTTCTCTTGAGGAATTCAGCCAGACATGGAGACTGTTCACTTCTCACCTGGGCATCGATATAGAGGATGACTCCATTGACAAGTTAGTCCTCAGCATAGACTACAACAAAGATGGCCACATTGACTTCAACGAATTTTTAGAGGCCTTTCACGTTGTTCACAGACTTGAGAAGAAGGCAACCTCATGAAAAGGCAGAACTTGTGGGATGTCTTGGAAGCTCAGGTTGCTGTCATTAGTCATAAAAGGGCTGCTTGATAGGGTCACAGTGCAAGCCTTTATTTAGCCCTTCCTGGATGTTCTGTACCTGCTAATACTGGGATAGAGGAGATGAAAACCCACATTTACAGTATTACTGTGCCACTGCCACACACTGCCAGGACCTTACAATTCATCCCCTCCTCTTGGTGGCATCTCCCCCATCAATCTAATCCTGAGCATTGCCAAGGTCATGCCTACAGCTGTGTAGGAAGAGAGACTTTGGTATGTGTCTGTCAGCAGTCCTTAGTGACAGCTGAGTGCATTGAGAACCACACAGAACATATCAGTTCCACGCTGGTGATGGAACAAGCACAAGAGGCTGGCTGTGGGGTGTCCACTGCAGGAGAGGAAAACAGGGAAGAAGCATCTGGTTAAAATGGATAGTCCTGCGTTTAATCTTGCTCTTTGCATGATGCAGAGGAATTAAATTATTCCAGGTCAATCTCTTATGCTTCTAATAGTTCACAGGCACAACTTCAAGATGGTTGAAAGATGTTTACACTTGCACTAGATTTCCTCTTGCCTCTGGTTACTTTTCCCCGTATTTGTTGGGATTTGGAGCTATGAAACAATCATAACTATTTCTGAGATGGAGGCAGGCTCTGCACAATGGTGCTGAGCAATAGCACAGGAGGCAATGGGCAGAAACTGAAGCACAGGAAATTCCACCAGAGCAAGAGCTTCTCTCCTGTGCAGTGACTGAGCACTGGAACAGAATGCCCAGAGAGGGTGTGGAGTCTCCCTCACTGGAGATATTCAAGAACCATCTGGATGCAGTCCTGTGCTATGGGAATGACCCTGTCTGAGCAGGGAGGTTGGACCAGATGATTCATTGTGGTCTCTTCCAACATGACCCATGCTGAGATTCGGCGATTCCAAGATAAATCGTGACCTTAATGAAGGCTAAATCCACAGCATGTTAATGCAACACGTGATAGATCACAGAATAAAGCTTTAGCTTTCTGAGCAATGCCCAAGGGGGTGTGTCCCTTTGCCTGTGTTTTGTACCCTGCCTCAATCACCACAGAACACTCTTCCTGCAGATGCACTGGGTTTCTTAAAAACAGAAATTAGTAAGAACAGAAGAGTAAACATATTTTGATACTACCAAATCTAAATATGCTTGCACATAGTTAAATATAAATTCTTTACCAAGAAAAAAAACCTGAGAAATTCTGAAATTGAGTTTTTGGAAGGCAGCAAGATTGAAGACTCTTGCACTCACATTCCTGTCCCCTTTCCCTGACTGGAAGTCAATATTCCCATTCCTGCCAGTACTACCCTGTCAATTCCTACGGGGGAGAAGGCAGGAGATCTAGACATAATTCTCTTGCGTGTTACACTCTGAAAGCAACATCAGGTCAGGAGCTTTTTGGTAACTGCATTACCTCATTCAGCCTCAGTAAATTCAATGCACATAAAGTGCTTTTTGGGTAGGAAAAAGTTCCAACCTAGTCCCTCTTTAAATTTTAATAGCTAAAGATAAGCTAAGTAAAGCAGCTCGGTTTCATTTAATAGAAGTACTGAAAGTACAAAAAAAGTATCCTTCCAAGTTTATCATCCCAGAATGTAAGAGCAGCCCAAGCTTAAGGCACTGCTGTCTCTCTTAAATCTTGTTTTCTACTATTAAATACAGAAATTTTTTCCAGAAGTATTTTGTAACTTGACAGATGAATGAACAAACATGCACACACTTATTTCTACTGCCTTGGGAGAGGGGAAAGAAAAATCTTTAACAGTACAAACAAAATTTACAGTGAAACTTTAATGGCATTGGTAATACATAATGTATATGTTTAGCATGCAGTTATTCTGATCTATGCACTGTGATGATCAGTCCCATCTTATTCCAGTGGAGTTACAAAAAAAAGGCTCCACTTACAATGGCCAAACATCTCTGTGTGTGGTGGGATCTTGCTTCCCAATGTTGGCTTCCATGCCGAGGGTGTGAACTGCAAGGTAGAATTGGACACTGCAGTTCTGGAGTCCCCCTTTTGCACCTGCCCCAGTAAAGAGGACAAAGCCAGGCTGTACAGTGAGACACAGGAGCTCTGAAGGATGGCTGGCACCTTCCTGTGTAGATGTCCTCCACTAAGGACACATTCCTGAACCTGGCATGAAGGGGACTGGCCTTGAGAGATCACTTCCTGAGAGGGGATAGATACCAAGGTACAGTCATAGCACAACTTCACTCAGCAGGCAGGGAGAGCCTTTTGGGGTTGCAGGACAGAGGTATGAGAGCAGCTGAATCATTGAGCCAAAAAGGAAAGCCTGTCCTGTCAGCTGCTGGTGGCACAAAGAGCCCTCTGGCCCCTGACAGAAGGGGGGTGGCAGGGGGAGTAACTGTGAAACATCTAATGCTGGGAATAAATGCCACGAGACTGAAACCGGGAGTGGGAAAAATCCCTGCTGCTTGTACTTAAATCCAAACTGTTTGATTCTATAACCCACATCCTCACTCCCTTTTTTTCAGTCACAATTCTATGCAGCAGCTACTTAATATTCCAGATGTGAGTGGTCTTTTAAGCAGCGCCCAAATCAGCTTGCAGAGTGCTAAACTCTCACCCTACAGCTACAGCTGCCACCACTGGTAGCATCTCTCTCCTGCTTTCTGGGCAACTCTGCTCCTGCCTGCTGACCACTCCAAAAAGTGCCCAAGGTTAGACTAGGTCTGACTCAGGCTCCCACTTCTCTCAAGGCCCTGGCTACTGCCAGAAGGGTGACACATTCCTGCAGTGTCCCATGCCCACATGGGGCAGGCCAGGTGTTTCACTACCCCACAGAAAGTGGCTGCTCCTTTGCAGGGCAGCCAAGGACTGTGTGGCTCACCTGCAACTTCCAGGAACAAGCAGGACTCTTTCCCTGAGAAAGGAGACTACAGTTAGCAGGACAGAAGCCAGACAAACTTTGTACTCCACCCATTCAGTTTTCACAGTTACCTGTGGCACCAGCAGCTGAGGGAGATCAGCGGCACTTTTGATCTGTCTAGTCTGACAAACCCACATCCCTGTCACAGCAGGGGGAAGGCAACAGGGTGAGCAGGGGGGACACAGGGCTGCAGAGCAGGGCTGGGGCCAACATGTGGTATGAGCTCTGAGCTGGACACAGGTCCTTATTCTGCCAGCTCCTCACCCAGCCCTGTGCCTGCCACACTCAGCTGCCTCCAGCACTGTGTGGGTGCTCCTGATGCCACAGCTGCAAACTGCTTGGGGCAGCAGGGCCCATCAGGCTGGTATGAGCAGCTCTCAGGTGAATCTGTTTTAATTCACTAATGCCCTTGTTTCTGAGGCACAGGACCGGTCTGTTCACCTTTGCCTTCTTTCCATAAATGTGTTTCCAGGGACTGGGAGCTGGCAGTGTCATCCTCTGCTGCCTCCCCAGGGAGGCTGTGCAGCCTCTACCAATTAGCTCAGCCCTGCACAAACCACAAAGTCGTCCTGTATTTTATGTGGGAGCACACCCTGGCCACTGCCAGTGCCAGCTCTGCTTTGCAGTAGCCTCACACACACAAGGCTCCTCAGCAAAGCAGAGGGTCTATGTAAAACTTCATTCGCAAATGGGTTTGCAAGGCCACTCTCCAGCTGCAATGGTTCTTTGCTCTGAGCAGTAACACAGCAGCTGTGCCTGACCCTGCAAGTAACCTAAGTTTGCCTTCCACTGGCCTTGTCTTTGAGTACCACCCTTCACCACCAGATAGATACCTAAACTCTTCAAATTACCACATGAACACTTTCCAGTTGCCTGCATTCCACATGGTAATTCATTGTGATCTTCATGAATATCCCATAACCTAGATCATACTGTGAATTTGATAGTAAAGAAACCAATGACACTCCCACTTGAAAACAAAGAAGTCTTAAAGGGTGTCCAGGTATGTTAGGCCATACATTTCATTGCTTTAGACTTCAATACAGCTGCATGAAAAACCAACATCAGCCTTCTTGTTTCTGAAAAGAAATTCACACAGTAGGTAAAAAAAAAATTAGAAGTCTGAGCAAAAAGTCATCTTGCATCTCCCTCAATCTAGGATTAAAGAAGAAAAGCAAAAATAACTGCTACTACTTTTTGTATGATACCGAGTAGAATAAAAAAACCATCACCTTACTCTTGTTGTGCTTATGCTCTGCACTGTCACATCTGCTTAAACTAGACAAAGGATTTTGCTTCCTTTCACTGGGAAACAATCCAAGTGAGCTTTCATAATACACATGAAAAGTTTAAAAAACCCACACCAAACAATAACAAAGGCAAACCCTTACAAAACAGGCACCACGCCAATAAAATAATTTCCACACCCAAGTGCTAATTGTACCTGAACTGTCACTTCATACTGGCCCCTGCACAGGCCCATGGTTCCCATGGTGGGTAACACAGGGCTCCTGGTCCTCTGGACTACCAAACTCCTCTGGTCTCTGAAAAAACATTAAATCACCTCACACTAAGGCCTCCTACCCCTACACTCTCTCGAGCCAGTTCCCAGATACTGCCATAGCAGCAGTGACAGTGTAGAGGGACAGCAGGCAGGCTGTCAGGCTTATATAGCTCAGAAAGTACTTATTTTTACAGGCCTATCTTCTCTTTTCACCTCTACCTGGCAAAACAGAATTGCTCTGATCCTTTCTGCTCACATGGCAGCAGTGCTACTGAGGGAGCCTGTTTGTGGCCATGGGATGCTGAAGCTACTGCCACTTTCCTATGCTGACATGTGGCTGGTGGCAAAGCCAGCAGCACAGGCACAAGGAAAACCACAGCCAGTGCCTGGGGTAAGGCAGGGTTTTCCTCTCCAGAGGCTGCCAAACTCTGTTTTCAGTTTAAATGGCCATGGAGTAATTTCCATGCAGGATGCACCTACTCCCTGCAGCACCTCAGAGCCTCCAACTGACAGCAGTAACCTGGGAACTGTCTGCAGGGAGACTTCCAGGCAGCCCAACCCCTAATTACATGAGACCAATGTAACTTCAAACTAAAATGAAGAAAAAGAAAAAATTGAAAAGGCAATAAAAATAAAATAAAATAAAATAAAATAAAATAAAGTAAAATAAAATAAAATAAAATAAAAACAACAAAGAGAAACATCAAAGCCTTCCATAAACTCATGCTACACTGGAAAAGCCACAATTATGCCATTCTTAACTCTGAGGCTGTTTGCGAGGGAAATGATCAGGAGACTGGGAAATGGTGCTCAAGTGGATGAGGTTTATCTTGCTCCATTCAGATGAAAAGGATTACAGGCATAAAACTGTCTGTCACACTGGAGAAGCTGGAGTCTTGGGATTTTGCCTCCTAAGTCTTGGGGATGCAGGGAAGGAAGCTATTCAGATTAAAGACAGACGCGGCTTCCTGACAGAGGCTATCCTCCCAAATTAATGGTTATTGTAGGATGTTTGTCCCTACTGGCATTAGCCCTGCACTGACTAGGTGCAAATGAGAAGAGAATCGGGATAAAAGTGTATTAGACGTATCACCACATTATTTCAAGTTATTCTTACTCCTCTAATTTACATTTCCCTGGATGTTCCACACTGTGCATTAATGATTCACAACGATGTACATTTACACACAACAGGAGAAAAATTAATGAATTCAATCACTTCCCTTATTTGTGAGACTTTATGCCCAAGATGCAGCTCCCTCGTTTTATTATGCCTTTTGATCTCCACAGAGTAATCTGTTTCCCTCTTGGCAGAACTGTGTAATTCTTGCTAATTTGATATGAATTACATTTATGCACTTTGGGCAGAATAACCCTCATTATTTGTTATTTCTCACACACTCTCCTAAAACCAGGCCAAATTCCAGCTCTCTGTCCCCAGCAGTAGATGTGCACAGAGCATCTCCAGTAGTGCCAAGTGCTGAGTGAGTGCATGGCATACACAGAGGCAGCAACCAAGGGGGTCGTAACAGGGAACTGGGGAGGAAGAATCTCCGAGCCTTTCTTCCCATGTGAGGCATCACTTACTGCATTG